TGAGATTGTGTGTGTCTGTGTGTGTATAATCGTCCAGATTATATGTATTTTATATAGGATCTTCTATATATATCCACATATGTATATAAATTCATATATATTCTATATAATGTGACATGTATTGGATACATACAGGAGACAGAGAAATAAATATAAAGCTTTATTGTAGAGAATTGTCTCGTGAGATTATGAGTGGTGGCAAGTCTGAAATTTATAGAGCAGACCAGCAGGCTCTACGCTGAGGCAGGATTTCTATTATAGTCTGAAGGCAGAACTCCTTTTTTAGGAAACCTCATTTTTTATTTATAAAGCTTTCAAATGATTGGAGGGGCCACCCAAAGTATGGAGAATAATCTGCTTTACTCAAAGTCAGCTGATTATAAATGTTGATCACATCTACAAATACCTTCAGAGTAAATCTAGTATTGACCAAATACTATAGCCTAACCAACTTAACTCATAAAATTAACCCTCACAGTAAGAAAATGAATGTGGTTGTTGGAAGCCACTGAGATTTGAAGTGGATTTTAGTGAAGCATTATTGCTACAAGGGGAAACCTAATTCTAATGTCTAGAATTATCGTGTGTGATGTGTTTCTTTCAACCCAATGCCACCTGTGACTCTTATTATAAATAGTGTTTGGACTTTGACAAGCTCCCTTTATACACTTCCTGGTAGATCCACCAATTTGATGATATAATATCTTAGTTTGATAATTTTTATAATATTGACTCTATACTTGCACTTTAAAAATGAGATTATAATTACTCCAACACTTTACTTGACTTTATATAATAACAATTTATTTCCCACTTTAAAATATACTTACAATTAAAATAATGTATGACTTACAGTATTTTTTAATATCTTTGATTGTTTTTCAACTACAGTCATTGCCATTTTTCCCCAATTACTCTCCCTTGCACTCCCAAACTCAATCCTACAGAAGGCTCAGAGACATATGAAAGGATGCTCAGCATCACTAGCCATAAGAGTGATGCAAATTAAAACCACAATGAGATACCACTTCACACCAGTCATAATGGCCATCATAAACAAATCAACAAGCAAGTGCTGGCAAAGTTGTCAGGAAAAGGGAACCCTAGTACATGGCTGGTAGGAATGCAGACTGGCGTAGCAGCTGCTATGGAAAACAGTATGGAATTTCCTCAAAAAACTAAAAATGGAACTGCCTTTTGACCCAGCAATTCCACTGCTGGGATTATACCCTGAGAATCCTGAAACACCAATTCAAAAAAAACCTATGCACACAAATGTTCCTGGCAGCACAATTTACAATAGCCAAGTGCTGGAAGCAATCTAAGTGCCCATCAGTAAATGAGTGGATCAAAAACCTGTGGTACATTTATACAATGGAATTCTGTATAGCAGAAAGAAAGAAGGAGCTCATACCCTTTGCAACAGCATGGATGGAACTGGAAAGCATTATGCTAAGGGAAATAAGCCAGGCATTGAAAAACACGTACCATATGATCTCAACTATAAGTGGAACATAATGAACAAAATAAACAAGCAAGCAAAATATAACCAGAAACATTGAAAGAAAGAACAAACTGATGGCAACCAAAGGGTAGAAAGGAGGGGGATAACCGAGGAAAGAAGAGGAAGGTTCATCAAGGAACGTGTATAAAGGATAGGAATGACTTACCGGTATTAGTGATATGTGTTAGGTTTTGGTATAAAAGTTATTCAATCTACAGAGAATAAATGTTTCTGAGAATAGCTAAGAAATACTGCTTTTCAAAAATTAGACCTTAGTTGTAAAATCATGTAAGTTAACGTTAATTTATCTAGTAATTAGTAAAGCCTTGTATTTCTGTAATACTAGTAAATTTTGTTGGACTATGGTATATTACCCATTTCACTCTTCTTCACTTTGTTTCCTAAAGTTATGTGTAATAAATTATATTAATATGATTGGATCAATTATTTATCTACCTGTGGCTATCTATTCTTTCTTATTTCCAATATAATATACTCATATATTATTTTTAGCTTTTATTTTAATGCACTCTAATGCCCGTTGATTTTGGTTTATATCAAGTTTTTAATGTAAGAGACAATAGAGTTTGTTTCAGTTTTCAGATTATTTCACCCGCCCTCCTCTTGTCCCTACCAGAGAATGATGTTTCCCTGCCCTTGTCCTGTGAATTTCAGTACTTCCAGATCAGTAATGTGTACGTCATGGGCCACATAATGAGGCCTGGCCATGCTGTTTGTTTGGTCAGTACAAGCAGAGTGGGAAAGTGCAAACAAAGGACTTAAATGTAGCTGGGTGGTGATTGGTTTTCCCTGGACCATGCAAATGGCATTGTCCGTGTTGGTACTGATATCTCAGCCTGGGTATCCAAATTCAGTCTGCTTACTGTAGAGAAGAGCCCTGGCCAACGCAGCCCTTGGGGAACATGAGCAAGGGATCTTTGATGTTGTATGTGGTTGAGATTTTAGGCTTATTTGTTAGTGCAACCAAACTGGCTAATACAAAATGAGGACTTACCCCAATTATGTTCAGTCAACTTTGAATGCAAAGACATTTAAAACGTTTTAAAGTGGTCTATAAGTTTTGTTATTAAGTATATCCCTTTTGCCCTGGCTAGTGTGGCTCAGTGGATTGAATGTCAGCCTGCAAACCAAAGCGTTGCCGGTTTGATTCCCAGTCAGGGCACAAGCTTTGATTGTAGGCCAGGTCCCCAGTAGGGGGCACATGAGAGGCAGCCACACATTGATGCTTTTCTCCCTCTCTTTTTTAACTCCCTTTTCCTCTCTAAATATAAATAAATAAAATCTTTTAAAATATATTCCTTTTCATTAACTTTCCTGATGATCATCATTTCTGGCATATTTCTTTTTTGGATTCATCAGTTAAACATTACTTATGGGAGAGTTCCTTATATTGAACAAAGTACTTTGAATTTTTATATTATATTTTTAATTATGTCTGAATTTATTGAATTTATGGCGATGGTTGCAGACTTTGAAAAAAGTACTTTAAAAAAAGTTTAAGACTTCCCTTAAAGCCTAAGTACATGATTGATTTTGTAAGTGTTCTTCAGATACTAATAAAATATATATCAAATATATATTTGATATTCATAAAACACAAAATCAGATACTTATGTCTGAGTAAAGTTTATTACAGTATTCAATTCCTATATGTTCTCATTTATTTATTTCTACTAGACCTTCCTAATTCTGAAAAACATATATTACATTCCCAGCATATATTTTCATCGAGTTATCCCTACACTTCTAACAGATTGTTGGGCTTTATGCTTGGAATGCTACATGGTTTGATGCTTACAGGTTTATGAAAAATGTGTCTTCCAAGCAGATTTTCTTCTATCATAACACAAAATAACTTTTCACTTTAAGAGCTTTTTAATTATAGAAGAACATTTTCCTTTCCCTTTGCTCCAACTCATCACATTTAGTTTTTAAAAAATGAAACAAACAAGCATGAAAAATATAGCCAGAGACATTGAAATAAAGAACAAACTGCCAGTAACCAGAGGGAGGTGGGGGGGATAACAGGTGGAAAAGGGGAAGGGTCATGCAGGAACATGTATGAAGGACCCATGGACAAAGCCAAGGGGGGTAGGATCAAAGGTGGGAGGTGGGGATGGGCAGGGTGGAGGGGAGAAGTGGGGGGCATATGAAGACCACTGTACTTGAACAACAATAAAAATAGCAAGACAAAAAAATAAAATAAAAATGATGTTATACTATTTAGGGAGTTTTGATTTGTTGTTTGCTACACAGATACTCCATTTAAACAAATTTTGCCTAACCTTTATAGTAAGACATTTCAATCAAGCTGTCATTGTATTAACAATATATAAAGTATCACTACTCATGCCTTTCTTTCTTCCTACTTTCATTTGATCTCTTCTTAAAGTATCTATTTTAAAATGATGTACGGTTAGTCAGACCATTTTCTGAAGTATTTTACACAGATGATGTAATGAAAATTGAGAGTCCCTAGTTTTTGTTTCTGGTCCATGGGTAAATCATCATTTATCTGTCCATAAAATTTGAGGCCTTTTTTAACCAATGATCTACTAACATTTTTAAACTACCAATTTTAATGCATTTCTTTGAAATAGAGATAAATTGTTTCATCTATTTGAAAGATTCTAGTTTTTTTTAATGCTCAAAATTCCAAAATCCTGGAAGATTGTCAGTCTAGCCTTCCTTTCCACCAAGACCCAAATAAGCACACACTTAAAATTTATTCTGTCTTTTTTTTCCTGGGCATATATACTTGTTTAGCTTTTCTACTTTTCTGGTAACTAAGCTGAATCAAGTGTCTGCCAGCAGAACATGGTTGGAGAGTAGTGTACATCCTTCATTTTACACGCCTTCAAAGAAAACAGCTGTTTGTGATTTTTTTCTCTTCCCATGCACTGGAGCACGGATAGGGTAGCAGCTAAGCTGATGAGGACCAAGCCCTCGGGGATTGTGTTAACCATGATACAGGGGAAACCAACGTCCTGATCTATCTCATGAAACAGACTTTCCCTTCCAGATTACAGTAGTCAGGCTGGTGGATGGGAGAAGAATAAACTTCTCTGTGATTTAATATCTCTACTTTGTTGTGGAGGGTGGGGTGAGTGGGAAGTCTTTTTCCTGGTGGTCCTCGAAGGTGTTCTGTAGTTTGGTAAGGGTGCCAAAGACACTTTCAGGGTGTTTGTTAAGTCAAACCATCTTCAGAATAATACTAAGATGTCACTTGTCTTAAACATTGGTTTTTAAGGGTACTGTCACCAAACTGTCCAACTGGGGTTTTATTGCTCACTACCACGCATTCACAAGAAAAAAAAGTCCAGTTTCACTTAAGAATGTCCTTGCGGAAACAATAATAATTAGTGCTGGTATAAAAATCTGACCTTTGTGTATATGTCTTTTTAATGTTCTTCATGAAGACATAAGAAATATGTATGAAATATTTCAACTACATACTGACTTGAAAGTTACCCCCAGGAAATTACTCAGGCAGTTCATTTGTATAGCTATCAGATGAACCTGCTGCTTTCTTCATGGAAAACCATTCTTACTTGCAATAGTAACTCAGATATAAAGTGTGTTTATTCAAACATGAATATTTGGCGAAAGAAATGCAGTTGACAGTTTTTACACTTGATCTTAGCCAAAAGGCCAAGAAGCGATAGAGTCGACAGTTTTTATTGATGATCATAAAGTTGAGCTTTCATGGAAACATTCGAATTTTGGAAAACTTGTGCCCCTTATGAGACCTGGCAACTTCTCAACACAAAGATATTTCAAAAATAAATGGATGTGTGTGTTCTGTTTGTGTTTGTGTTTTTAAAGTGTACCATGAAATGTGTAAACTATCTGAAACATCTGCAGTTAGGCAGTATTTTCCAAATGATTAATGTATGATGTTACAAACCTGCACATGAAAAAAAGATCTACTCAGCATGCTAGATAAACCCACAGATTTTAATGTAAAGAAGTGCAGAAAATGCATTGGTGTAGGTTTTGATTCTACATAGCAACTAACATCCAAAAATTATTATGTCAAATTCTGGCGTAATGACAAAATAATCTGAAAAGTTTTCAAACACCTTCACTTTGCCAAATGCGTTTGTACGTGCAGGATTTTTTCAAGTGCTGCAACCAAAATAATGCATTGTAACAGATTCAATATAGAAGCAGACGTGAAGTTACTTGTTTTCTGATAGTCAGACATTAAGGAGATTTGTAAAAATTTGAAAAAGCCATCTCTCTTCTCACTAACGTACATTTTTGCAAAACTGTACAGTTTTTATGAAAACATGTTTATATGTCAACATTTACTAATAAACTAATAAATATATTATTTTTATTTACTTATTTTTTAACGATTTTGGTAGACTTTTTTTAAAAGATTTTATTTATTTATCTTTAGAGGGGAAGGGAAGGAGAGAGGGAGAGAAACATCAATGTACGGTTGCCATTCGTGCGTCCTCTGCTGGGAACTGGCCTGCAGGGAACTGGCCTGCAACCCTAGTATGTGCCCTGACTGGGAATCAAACCGCAACTGTCTGGTTCACAGGCCTGCGCTCAATCCACTGAGCTACACCAGCCACGGCTCTAAATATATTATTTTTAAAATATCCATTTTATTTTCCAGTACAGTAAGAATAAATAGACATAAAGCACATAAACAAAGTCCTTTGGATCATTAATGGTATTTAAAAGTGTAAAAGTTTTCTGAAACCTAAACTACCAGTTTGCTAAATCCACCATGTTTGAGAACTGCTTACCCATTCTTTACCAAAAACAACACAAATATTTTTTCTGGATATCACTAAATGTGTTCCACTTTTCATCAATAGTTAGAGAAATTAGTGAATCCATCCAAATAAAGACTTGAATTGTTCAGGGATTTTTTTCCCTCTCCCACTTAATTTAAATATTCTCACTATATCATCATCTTTTCCATTTTTTTGTAGAACTCGTCTTAACCCTAATTAATTCCATCTTGTTTGTGTTTTATTTTTGATTTGAGGTATTTGTGTTAACTATACCACACTTGAACATTTTTACTTAATTCCATGCTTGTAAGTTGGTACTTTGCCGACTCTCAGCTCAATGCATTCTGGGAATTTAGTGTAATCTTGGTATTCCCTTGCAAGGCAGCACTGCTTTGTGTGTTAGGTCGGCTCCTGAGACAGTAAGTGCTTTACAGTGCAAGCCAGTTGTCAGTGTTTGTATTTGTTCAGGGCTACAAAAGAAATCTTCTCCTCTCCCAATGTCCTCATTTTTCACCAAATTCAATTCTGCCCTCAGATAACATGAAAAATTCAACCCAGAGTATCTCCAGAGCTTAAAGACACAACAGGGCTTCCTAAGACTATAATTTACAGCAAGGGAAGGTGCTACGCTTTTTTCTCACAGAGGAACCCGGCTCTCCCTGGGAACCATGAAATCAGGACTGTCACCTCCGGCCTCTCCCTCTGGATGGTCCCGGGATAAGGCAAGTGTTATGAGGGAAGAGATTAGGTTCTTGGTTTATACTTGCACCTTCCTGGAATGTCTAGTGAATCTAGGGCTTTTCATTACAGGCTCTTTCTGCTTCCAAGTCTTAGCCTCTACTTTGCTCAAGACAGTCAATGTGCACATTTCTTATCCGTGATGCTAAACATCCCAGAAATCTGGAAACAAAAAGTCATTAGCAGCAAAATGTGACCTAGCGAGAATATGCCTAGGTCTCAGTGCAGAGCTGTGTATGTGTTTGTGGGCAGGGTGATGGCCTGATCTCCCTCCCAGTGTTTTTTTTTTTTTTTGCAATGGAAATTATATGCACTGTATCGCCTTTGTAAACCTCAGATATTTTAATTTTTTAAATGTATTTGACCCATTCGATATTGTGCTCCTGTACTTGAATGTTTCCAAATTGTGATGTTCGACTCTGAGCTATGGCTTCTTCTTTCAAATTACCCTTCTCAGCCACATTTGATTAGAGACTATATGCCCTCCGTGCTGCTACACTGAGTATGAAATAGCCTTTGTTACTCGGAGCATTATTTTACAATTTTATGCTTACTGCTTAGAGTGGAGAAAGAGTTTTCTCTTTAAAATACAGAGTCCTTCAGTGCATGACCTTCTCTCTATTACTTTTTGTTCCTGCTCATTCAGCTCCCAAGCCAAAGGCACACGTTTTACCTTGTTATTCATGGCTGCCCTCCTCTCTCTGTACTCATTCTTGCATCAGCACGGAGACACCTGGCTATTTCTCATTCTCCTTTACACGGTGTCTCCCTCAGAGGTTTACAGAGGATCTTGGTTCACTTTTGACACTCAGGTACTTGGGCTGAAGAAGCATCTACCATCTTGAAAATTACTAGTGTCCATGCCAGGAAAACAAGAGGATGCTATAAGGGCTCCTACCAACTGATGATTAAACTCACTAGTCAATTTGTAATGTACATGCCTGAATTCAGAATATGGCTTCACCAAAGCCCGGTGGGGCAAAGAAATGCAATGAAACACTTGCCCATTTGCCCAGAAAAGGGGCGACCAAAAATATAGATGAAAGGCATTACTGAGTACTTTAGAATGCAAGTAAAATATGCCCGACCAATTCTGAAAGGCAGAGAATTGATGAGAAAGTACATTTACATATTAAGCTCATAGAAGCATTTGTGAATTTGAAGACATACAATCAGCATAATTATGTGATTATGCACCATCTGAAACTCACAGTGTATAATAGATATTTATTAGATAATTGATGTAAAGTATGATGATATAGATAACATAGTGCATATAATCCTCATTTTGAATTATTAGATAAAAGTTCTTACAACAAAGCCTGTGCAAACACTGAGATATTCGTGTAATTTCTGCTAATTATGTAATTGGATACTGCACAACCTCTGTCATTTACAAGTTCCAGCTACCCATTGCATCACTTGTAAATCCTCCCACAGGTTATAGACCGCATTATTAAGATTTAAGAGATTACATCATTTAGCTGAATAAGTTAATATTATTTCAATCAAAATACTATTCTGATCAAAATAAATCAGACAAAAAAGTTAAGAACAGTATGATTTCGCTCATAAGTTAGATATAAAACTTAAAACAACAAATGAGCAAACAAGAAAAACAGACAAAAACTCGCAGACAGACAACTGTATGGTGGCCAGCAAAGGAAACGCATTTAGGGTAATAGTAAAAGGTAAAGGGGTCAAATACATGGTGAGGGAAGGAGATTTGACTTTGGGTGGTGGGCACACAATATAATATACAGGTGATCTATCATAGAATTGCATGCTTATCACCTATATAATCTTGTTAACCAATGTTATCCCAATAAATTTAAATACCATATGATCTCACATGTAACAGGAACCTAAACAAAACAAACAAACAGGCAAAATATAACCAAAGACACTGAAATAAAGAACAGGCTGACAGTGTCCAGAAGGGAGGGAATTTCAGGGGAAAAGGGGAAGGGCTACAGGAACAAGTGTAAAGGACACATGGACAAAAGCTCAGTGGGGGGGATGGGAGGGAGGGGGAGGGCTGGGTGGTGGGCTGGGATGGGAGGAAAAGACAGAAAGCTGTACTTGAACAACAATTAAAATAAAATTAAAAAAAATAAAATAAAAATTTAAAAGTGTGAAGATGGATAGCTAGTAAAAATAGTATGAAATTTCCTCATTAAGAAAAATATGAATTTATACTCATGACTAGATTTTGAGTCCAGATAATTACCACTTACAAAATGAATAGTAGCATAGATATTGAAATATGTTTATAATTCTTTTATATGTAATCTTCTGGAAACTACAATTCTATTTATTCTATTATTTCAAATTCCCATAATACCCTGTGTGTTTACTTCATAATGAATGGTGTGGAAATAATAAAATATCTATTTTTAAAAATTATATGCTAAGTGAAATATGCCAGGCAGTAAAAAACAAATGCCCTATGACCTCATCTTTAAGTGGGACCTAATCAACAAAACAAACAAGCAAGAGAAATATAACAAGAGACATTGAAATTAAGAACAAACTGACAGTAACCAGAGGGTAGGTGGGAGGGGATAATGGTGGGAAGAGGAGGAAGGGTATTGAGGACAGACTATAAAGGACATGTGGACAAAACCAAGGTGGGGTGGGGTCAGGGGTGGGGAGGTGGGGATGGCTGGGGTCGGGGGGACTAGTGAGAGGAAAATGGGGACCACTGTACTTGAACAACAATTAAAAGCATTTTTAAAAATTATGTTATTAATTATCTATATTAAATCTCAAATAATTAATCTCAGGAAAACTTGCATTAAAGCAACTATTGCATTGCCTCTCCAGTTGAATAATTAAACAAAAGATATTTCAAGCTTCAACTTGCAACACATTAAATAAAAGAACTGAAGCATTTTTATTGTTCTTACAACATGAATTTCCTTATGGAAAGAAAAGTCAAATATCTTTATTATTTTCTGAAAAATATTTTCCTTTGGTTCTTATCATCTTTCCAGTTCTTCTAAGAGCAGTTATCATTAGCTTCCTCCTTAATAATTATGCAGGATATAATCCACCAATATCAACACCAGTTTCTAGAAATGGCATATATGAGTACAAATTCTTCCAATAGAACCAATAATATGGCAAAGCATATCATTTTCCTTAATCTAAAGATACATTTGTAAGATA